GACCAGCAGAAGGAGAGAGGTGATTGTCCCCCTGTGCTCAGCGCTGGTGAGGCCACACCTGGAGTGTTGTGTCCAGTTTTGGGCACCTCAATGGAGGAGAGATATCAAGGTGCTGAAGCAAGTACAGAGGAGGGCAACAAAGCTGGTGAAGGGCCTAGAGAATCAATCTGATGAAGGAGCTGGGAATGTTTAGTCTGGGGAAGAGGAGGCTGAGGGGACACCTCATCAGTCTCTACAACTACCTGAAAGGTCATTGCAGAGAGGTTGGTGCTGGTCTCTTCTCACAGGTCATTAGAGACAGAACAGGAGGGAAGGGCTTCAAGCTGCACCAGGGGAGGTTTAGACTGGACATTAGGAAAAAGAATGTTCACAGAAAAAGTGGTCAGACACTGGAATAGGCTGCCCAGGGAGGTGGTTGAGTCACCATCCCTGGGTGTGTTTAAGGGTCGTTTGGATGTGATGTTGGTGGAGATGGTTTAGGGGAGAACTTTGTGGAGTAGGGATGATGGTTGGACTTGGGGATCCCAAGGGGCTTTTCCAACCTGAATAGTTCTGTGATTATTAAATATAAATTATATTAAGCATGCTCACTCTATGAAATATTCTCAATGTTTAATGGGCATGATTTGAACTGGTAGGTAACACTGCAGTATTTGGATTTACATTTCATTTTGCAAGTGAATGCTCACGTTTATTTAACCTAGAAGAAAACAAGAGACTGCATTTTCCTCTACCTGAGGCTAGAACTAGTGTTCCCATCTTGAATTTACACATAAACAGAGAAAGACCAGGAACATTCAACGTTAAATAAACATTTTAGTGTTCTACTATCGTGTCAAAATGTTTTCTGTGCCAAATGCTTTAGCATCATACCAGAATGTCTTGAATCACAGAGTGTTGATGTAATAATTAAAGAAATGGGCTAATCTGGTTGGTTTTGAAATTATGTCGGTGTGGGAAGGTTATGTGAAGGCATTAAGTGATGAAACGCCTCTGGCATTTCCATGCCAGCTCTGAGGGGCCGGCAGACCTGAGGAAACCAGAGCCATCTGTGTGACAAACCGGGCTGAGGGAAGCGCGGGCGGGCAGGGCGGCGGGACTCGGGCCC